GGCGGCGTTATGCAAATCTTCCCACATAGTGACGTAGACATGTGGGGGCGTGTTAGAACGAGCCGTTTTAGGTAGGTGTGGCTGACTCTTAACTTTTATAAAGAATATCTTTTTGGATTTGAGACTTTAGTCTTTGCAACTTTACAGATCTTCTTTATGCACCAAGAGCTTGTAACACTCCAAAGAGAAAGGAAAAATTTAAATCGCATCATATGACCCCTTTAAATATATATCCGTTTTGTCCATTATGCTATGTTTATATTGATTATTTGAGCAATTATCAAACCATTATTTCTAGGAAAGTATAATTAGCTGACATATTATAATAAAATAAAAATCATAAAATGATGCTGGCCACACATTGTATTCCGGTTCTGGTCCTACAGCCAGAAATCAGGCTAATGATATACAGCCATATCTTGCCTCTGTAATTACTTTTCCTCTCTGCTCAAGAGAGCGAAAGAGTGATTGAAAACAGCTATAGAATGTAATTAAGTGGAATTGACAAATTGAAGTGCACAGTGTTAGAATCAGCACAAAAACAGCTTACACCAAAACAACAAACATACAGAAACAACATTTCCTGTACAAAGCGAGCATGTGATCACAAATGCATTTGACCTTTAATGTTGTGCTTGATGTAATGGGTCACGGTTTCCATCGTGGTCATTTCACATCTAATACAACACATCATCCTGCATTTGAGTGTGTGAATGTATTTTTGACCTGTCCTTAGGAGTCTCTCCTTATATCTGACACACACTCATACAAACACACATTACACACTGCCAAACCTTCTGGACTCCAGTGGTCCTCTGCCACTCCGTGTAATCAAGACGAATCATCTGCTTGATTTTTATAAAGAGAATGACCTTCTACTACCGCCAGAAGCATTAGAGGCATGAGAGAGACAGAACAGGAGTCAACGGCCCCCTCAGGTTCCCTTATGCTAACAGTCAGTCATTTGGTGCAGATATAGTGTTCATCTGCACGGGAAGCTTTATATTCACAGCTCGGTGCCTGCTTAAAATAATCAAAAGCTTTATTGGAAAAAAGATATGATATAGATATAATTAATATCTCAAAGTAAGAATGATGAGAAGAAAAGGGCTCAGTGACTGAATTAAAGTTTCCTTAAAAAAAGAAAGGAATCATCTTTGACTCACTCTTTCAACATTCAGTTTAACTAAGCAATTTTTTCTTCTTTTTTGATATGCTAATTTGTCACGTTCTTTGAATTGCTTTAGAGTTCTATGGTTAGCACAAACACAAGCTAATACGTTTCAAACTACATTTTAACTCCATTAAAAATACAAAATATAAGGGAATCTGAAAGAAATTGTATTATTTTATTAACTATTATTTTTATTAACTATTATTTTAAAACTACCCTTTTTTTCATTAACTGTTCCCTCCTGGTGGAATGACCTGCCCAAATCCTTTGCATAAAAGCGTCTGCTAACTGACTAAATAAATAAATAAATAAAACTACAGCAGTTGTACTAATTGTATATAATTTTTAAATAATAGTATATAAGCTAATTTTGTTTACTGAAATTAAGTATTAGATTTACAAATAAATAACTCATAAATAAATAAATAAAAAGGCAAAGGTGAAGTTCATATAGGACTTCAAATATTAGATTTACAAATAACTGTCACAAAGCCTTGCTTGGGTTGAATTTGAGTATTATATAGATAGATTACATCAAAAATAGAAGACAACAGAATGGTTAATTATACCTCTAATTTGCATAAAAACAGATATTATTTAAATCATGTAACAGATTTACAGTAATCCAATACTGATTTTATGTTGCGCCCATTTGAGCGTCTGGACAAATCTCGACGTTCCCTTAGCGGCGCTGCCTTATTAAGTATCCCATAATGCACCACGTCGCTGTCATGGCTGCTCACTGATGACACTTGCAGCACATGGGCAGAAATCAAACACATCACAGCGAGCACACGAACCCTTCACATCTCACATTCACAGCCAGAGCAGGTCTTGAGCGACGTGACGCGTGTTTCATTTCTCTAGTGAGGGTTGACGAGGATGAAGATGCTGCAGCTCGAGGCGGCGGTTCTGGGTGGACTGAGTCCGGACTGGAAACAGAGCGGCTTCAGCACCGCAGGTAAGAGACAGCGGCAGATCTGAGCCGATGTGGTTTTGAAACGATGATGATGATGGCTGATGGTTTCGTCCAGCTGTGGGTAATAAAACGGGTTTGGATCCGCACGGTTATTGTTGTGGATGTGTTGCGTGCTGGTTGGTTTGCTGGACGCAGCAGTTACACACTCACGTGGTTTAAATGTGCCGCATGTGTGTTGAAATCTCCTCGCCGAGCCGACGCACGGGACTGTGTCCAGACAGGCGCGAGTTTCCGCTGACTGTGAACTGAGCGGCATTTGACAGCGTTCTAACAGCATGACTTCTGTATTTGTGTATTGACTGCATGGAGGGACAGTGTGGGCAGCTTTAGCGCATCGGACATCAGCACACAGAGGACCGACGCGTGTGTATCCTGTTGATGTTGAGGTGAGAGATAAGCTGTTATTTAGCTCCGTTTTAGAACAAAGCCGGGCAGCACCTGCCTATTGTGTGTAAGTTACACACTCCTGTTCGTGTTATTTTTGTGGGCGTTCACACAGGTCGCCTTAATGACAACTAGAAGGAGCGCAACACATTTAAGATGTTATTATAATACCGGAACTGAATTATTGTCGTGATTGAAGGTTTCACGATTAAGTGATTGTTGTTGTTTTTTAACGGTTCTCGAACCTGGTGTGGCGGACCGAACACCGTACTAAATACTCTTGACAGTGTTTCTTGCTCTACTATTCAGCGGCACCGCAGCACAGTTACACGTTCTACGGCGCGAAACATACAGCAAGCATAAAGTCCGATTCTCTAACGCATGACTCTGATGAATGGCTTCTTTCATAAAATCAAAATCATGTTCGTGTAGTTCGATTACGAATGGATGGCTCCTAGTTTGTTCTGAGTTCCAAAAACATACAACGTGACAAATCTAGTCCAAAGAAAAAGAGTCGATTCTTTTTAGTGAATCCATGTAGATTCTGAACAAATGATTTTTTTAGCCGGTTCTTTTTAGTGAATCAAAATACAGCGCAGCAAATATTGTCCGATTCCTGTGCAAAAGACTAGTGAGAGTCAATTCATTTAGTGAATCAAATAAATACAGTGTAGTTAATGATTCTTTTAGCCGGTTCTTTTTAGTGAATCAAATACAGCACGGCGAATGTAGTGTGATTCATAAAGAATATTCTTAAACGCAAATTCTTTTAGTGAATCAATCAAGCAAATACATTCTAGTTCGGTTCCCGAACAAAGGATGCTTATGAGACTTTTTTAGGGAATAAAAAGCACGGCCAGTCCGATTCTCGAACATATTATTCCTATAAAACAAGTCTTTTAAGTTGACCGCAAATATAAGACAAAAGAGTCTGATTTCTGAACGAATGACTCAAATGAACTGGTTAAACCACAGAGCGGTTGTTACGAGATGGTCCTCACTGCAGAACACCATATCCAGGGGGTGTGGTTGGATCAAGATCCAACTCCTCCCACCTTACATATACCTAAACCTACCCGTCTCCACCCCCTGATCACTAAACCCACCCATCTCCACCCCTAAACCTACCAATCTCCACCCCCTAGATGTGGATCCAACCACGCCCCCTGGATCTTGTGTTCTGCAGTGAGGGGCTACTGGTTGTTTCGGAGAATCTGACTCACTAAATCAAACTCACTTGAACTGCAAGTTATTAATCGTGACTCGAAACTCGAACTTGTTGGCTTGTAAAAAGTATTTTAAAGGGGTCATATGATGCAATTTCAATTTTTCCTTTCTCTTTGGAGTGTTACAAGCTCTTGGTGCATAAAGAAGATCTGTAAAGTAAAATAATGTTCTTTTTAGCAGCATCATATGACCCCTTTAAGTAGGTTACTACTTCAGATTACACACGTCTTAAAAACATAAAATTGATAGTGCAACACTTTGGAAAAAAGTAAACGCAGAGGGAACGCAAGAACGCGTCCTTGTGTGAATGCCCCCATTAGGCTAAATTATAGGATTTCATTATTGCTTTATTGCTGGCCTCTTATTTCATACATTATCCATCTCCCCCATCTCTCTGTCAGTTTAATGTGCTGTTAGTAGCGAGACAAATAGCTGTGCATTTTGAATATTGTAACTGTTCATTTGTATGTATCCTACATTGCATATTTCATTCCTCCCATGTGTCCCTCTCTCTCATGAACATCAACCACAGGAGTGATTAATGTGTAATTCACAGGATAGTGTCTGAGATGTGTCGATCTGATCTTCAGTAACGCTATTTCAGTCCGTCCTCATTCAGTCACGTTTATTCACGCCAGTTTCTCCTCAGAAGAGATCAACGACTGCCAGTGGCTGGAAGTGAAGTCTGCTGCTAGAAATAGTACAGCTTTCTTCACTCATATCAGAACTGGCACCATTTTGTATCGACAAAGTGATTCACGTAATCCATGATCTAAACTGAATTTGAGGTATTTAATTATTCTGTAATCAAATACGATTCACTTTAATTCAGTGTAGCTATCCATATATAATCTACTCATGGGTTTATTATAGTGGAGGATAAAACTAAAATAAGTATTTGCTTTTGACCTTTTATAGCACAGACTATAGTGCCTGCAAGTTTGGTATAAATAAACAGTTTTTCTGAGGGAGAGTCATTTTGTTATACTTTTTCAGGCCGGTGCTTTGTGTACAATGAACTATTTAATTTCACGGTTCACACATTTCATGGAGGCATACTGCTGCTCCTCTCCTTTTGGTTTATGGTTTTCCTTTTTTTCCCCTCTAGTATGCAAGTGAGGGAGCTAATGACTGAAACTGAATTTGAGTTTGATCCTGAAGAGATGATGTTTGGAATTGAATTTCTGTTTTATTTGTGTAGTAGGCATGGGCATTCGTTTACTCATTTGTGAGTAGAGATTGACATCTTTGTTCGTAATATGAGTGCTAGTAAAAAAAAATAAGAAACAAATTAATTATATAAAATATAATCATATGTAATTTGTCATGCAGGGATTTATGGGAATGTCCACTTTAAGAAAAGTTCATAAAAATAGTGTTAATATGAAGGAATTTTCCGTATTGATTTTACAGGTGTTTTACCCGTATTTTGAATTATGCATTGCATTGCATTGTGTTTTAGGGTTAAAGGAAATGTCTATAAACTAAACAGATTATTTCAGGATAAACATTTGTTTTAATAATGTTTCTAAAATAAAAACACTTAAGACTGCATAGTACCATTTAAAAGTGACACCATAACCAATCACAGTATTCAAAATTAGGATCCTTTGTGACACATTTGTGTGAAGTTGTTAGTTTCAATCTGAAAAAGTCAAATCTCATCTCAATTGTATTTTTTGTGGTAGATCATTTCTGTAACTTCTGAGGCTGTTCCCTGCAGTCTAGCAGCCGGTGTCATATACACCTCTTCACACACATACTGTACACCTAATGCTCATAGTTGAGTTTGAGAACAGAGTGTTCTGCTCTCGTTTCAGCTGAGAATAGTGTTCCTCTCTCTTTGAGGTATTGGCACTTGAGAAATTTGTGCTAAAAAGTGGCTTTCGGGAACAAACCATAAACGCATTGGTGTGTTTGAATGACTGTCTTCAGCTACTCTACCTTTTTGTGTGTGTGTACGCGTGGGTTCAGATGGAGGGTCGTTGCTGCAGTTGGTGTGTGAGGGAGATTTCGAGGCCGTGCTCTTCAGCTCTGCGGTGCAGGGGCTGCTGGGAGGTGCTTCTGAAGAGGGTGACAGCATTGAGGCCTATCTGGAGAGACAGGTGCTGTCTTACCTGAGCGATGCCACTGAAGACCAGAGGAGTGACAGGTAAGGATTTAGGACATATGACAGCTTTTTTTTCTGTTTTTAACTTGTATAAAGAATACTTGTATGAAGAGCAAAGAATTTTATCTCTGTTGTTCTGTACTATTAAACTCTATGAACTTCACCATAATGGGAAATATGCATTGTACTCCTAAATACTCAAGGCACATACATGTTCTGTGTTTTAAATGTGAAATTTATGAGCATTAATTCAATTAATTAGTATGCAAATGAGGACAAATTTAATTAGTGAAACTGTAATACTATTCATTTAAATTACACTACTGCCTAAAGATGTCCTCATTTAGATTCACTCATTGTGCCTGTTAAATTACAGGAGGTTTGGTCTTTTATTGCAGTAGATTTACAGTTAAATAGCACTATTTAATTGAGTTCTGTTGAACGGAGTTAAATGTCTTATTTATTGTGATTAATGGTTTTTATTTGTACTGTCTACTATAATTGGCTATGAATTATTTAGCAGGAGTTTAGCTAATGTGCTAATACTGAGATTTTTTTAGTCTGTTTATTGTAAACGCAGTGTTTCTGTGGACGATTTATTGATGGGTGATTTGTATTAAATTCTTTTGTTGCAGTGATGGAATTTATATCATTATATCTGTCATTCATATAATTTGAAAGCTGCTTTGACCGTGTTAAATATGCTGTGAATATGAAATTATGTGTGTGGAGATGCTATATATACTGTATGTGTATGTATGTATTGTGTATATATATATATATATATATACATACATATATATATATATATATATATATA